TAATTACTGCAAAATGTAAGCGAAAATTCGTTATACGAAACATGAAAGTATAATTTAATTGCTATATTTTCTTTATAAAATCACGAATTTGTTCTTATTAAGAAGAAATTCCAGCAAAAATAATGATTTTTAAAAGGCAAAAATTATAAATATAATAGATGAACTGTTTAACTATTTAGGTAGGCAAGTAAAAATACGAGCAAATCTACTCTTCTTTGATAGCTTACAAAACAAATGACAGGTGATATATAAAGCCGAGTACCTTCTGTTCTATTCATGAACGTAATCTACGTAATTAAAATTAATTATGCACTATCAAGCGACCCTTGCGAACAACTGCTGAAACGACTAAAGAATTTTTCTCCTTTTTAACAAAGCCCTTTCCGTCGGTGCCACGCACCTATTGTTAACAGGATAAAATAATAAGGAATACAAAGGATGATTCTTTTTTTCTTTTTATACAAAGTAAATCCAGCTTTTACTAAGCGATGTCACTGACACCAAACGCATTGTCTAATGATACCTACCTACACTTACAGGTCATTGAATGTATATGATAAATAAATTTAAATTACAAATACTTTATGTACGTTTTAATGTATTTTGTTAGTAACTAGAAAGTGTTCAATATTTATTATTTAATAAATGTAAAAATATTTTTATATACTTTAAAATTACAAATCATCAGCAACCTGCCCTTACCCTACGGATGGTCGGCACAGTATGCACTCCTCCATACATATCTATCAGCCGTATATCTGAATTTACCCCCTTCCAACGCGTTTCGTCTTTCACTCAATCATTCCATACTTTCAATGGTCTTGCTTAACCTTTGTAGCCATCCACATTCATTACTAGTTTATATTATATCATTATCTTACTTTAAAATTGCAGATATATGTTATAATTGACTAAGAAATATAAAGTTAGAATAGATGAATTAATAATTAATATTATTTAATTATAATTAATTAATTCCTATATACTTTAAATTATTTTTAGGTATTTTAAAGTTTGAGTAAATACTTGTAGTGTCAGAGAGTTTCAAGGCCTTTAAGGAAGGATAATTTTGTGATTAATTATATTAGTTGCTCCAACGAGAGAAAATTATTAAACTAACAACTTAATTAACGGAATATTCCAAAGGAAAAAGGAATCAAATAAGCTATAATTGATTCAGCAATTATAAAGTCAAAGTAGGGCTGTAAACTAACTTCTATAAACATAAAGTTTCTCGTAGTTAGAAAATAGCGTAAATAGAAAATTTATTTTAAAGCTCCTTTAAGTATCATTAAAATGTCGCGTACAGCAAAGCTGATAAACAAACTTGACATATTTCAACCGAGGAGTAGAAAACTTTCTTCACAACATTTTTAAACAACCTTCACTTGCTTATGAAGATTTCTGCCGCTGAGGAAATTTAATTTTTGACACGAAAGCTTTTACATAATAATTACATTTCAATTCATTATATTTATCTGTTTTTATGAAAAAAATTTAAAATAATTTCAATCTATTATTTTTAAGGGTTTTAAAAATAAAATATCTTTCTCAAGTATCTTTTCCTGAAAAGTATTGCTTGCTTTTTTGCTTCTTTAATTGCTTCTTTAACAACGTCGACAGCCATTGCATGGATAGTGAAGTACTAGGACATCATAAGAGATAATGTGTGGATTATTTTATTTCTGTATCTATCATTTAGGAGACGAAGGCCCAAATAAATTCCTCTTCCAATATGTTTATACTCTTGTAATTATTCCAGACATCTGCTATTTGTGCCGCAACGATTCGATTCAATTTTTCTTTTTCAATTCAACATATGTAAATGGGTAGCAATGGTAATTCAACATCAGATAAATTCTTGCCTTATTAAACAACATAACTCATACCAGTAACCCAGAGGGGTATACAGAGACCACAGACTTTCATTTAGCAGGTCCTGATACCTTTCTCTTCTATAATGTTTCATAGACATATTGTTACTTTCTGTTATATAACAAATTATTATAAAATTCTAGTCAAGTTTCAGTGCAACAGATAATATTGATAATTTTTATGAGGTCAGTGACATTTAACTTGATAATGATATCGGCGACTCTAGTCTTATCGCATTTTGAACGAGACTCGTGTTGCAGCCGAAAAAAAATAATACGATAAAAATGAAATATTCATCATATAGATTAAATTTAATTAAAATACCTAAATTTCTTATTAAATAAAATAAATTAATAAATATGATTTAAATATCTGTGAGTTTACGTTCGATCAAATTATTGTGTAAATGAAAAAAAAATAATTGTGATATTTATATCACAATTTTTTTTTTTACGATTATTTATAATCGTCTATATTTATTTGGAGTTATAAGGATATAAACTACGAATAAAAACAATGTTTAATAATTTACATTATTTCAAGACGAAGGCTTAAATAGCAGTAATAAATTTCGCCTTATACCAGGTGACGCTTTTAAGCTTTCAAAACTGTGTGCATGTTGAACAGTTATAATGCTTCACGTTCAAGAGAAACGTTAATATTAATTGTTTCTACAAATAATATTTAAGTCATATAACTATACAAATAAGAACCGAAAAACTTGTGACGCGGAAAAATCTGTTTAGCATTTTAAGAAGCCTTAAAAATAACTCACATACATATATTAAAATATACGTAAATATATTTGTAAGCAAATTACTTCCTGCCATTTGGAAATAAGAAATAAATTCCAGCTTGATACCTTCACGCGTTTTTGAGAAAAAGGGTCTTGACAGACAGACGGACGGACAACAAAGTGATCCTATAAGGGTTTCGTTTTTTTCCTATAAGGTACGGAATCCTAAAAACGCAGTAATACACACAAGCTTGAAAGAAAAATAATAACAACTCTTTTATACAAGGATGGTAAGGTTTTAGAGAAATAAATCACTATTCCACCCGTGTGGTGCATTAATGGAGACGGATGTTTATTTAACGCTGTCGTCCATTAACAACCTCAGGAATAAATGGCCAGTATCCACTGGATTAAGCTTTAAATACGAGCATTTTTGACACTATTGAACTTAAAGTAAAGATGAACAAGGATGATAAAACAGAACTACAAGGTCTACAAAAGATCCTGGTGGAGGAGAACGATGGCTGGATATAAAAATGATGGTCACATGTTCAAGATGAAATGTAACAGCAGACGATTAAGCAAAACTAGTAACATTTTGAAATTGAAAATCTTTTCTTTCTTTGGGAATCCAGTTGCAACATATCATTTTAATTAATATGTTAATTATGTTTCTAGTACCAATAAAGCTTAAGCTAATTGTATTTCTGATACGAATCTAAATTGAAAATTTTCCCTCAAACTTGAAAACTAATCAGAAAGTTGAACTTTCAAATTCACACAAAGTATTTCAATATTCATTGGCTCGTATCGAAGGCGAGAGAAGCACCCGAGTTCCTAAACATACATTATTTTGCCTCGATAATAAGACCCAGAACAAATCTACACACGCTCAAGAACAGTCAATGTGTATCTTTAACTCAATTTAAACTTTTTGTATTATCAATAAGGGAGAAAACATTTTGAACGCTCATTTGGGAGTCTTATGATAGCTTAAGACGCTACAATACTGTCGCATCTAAATAAGTACATTTTTTAAACCTGTAATAAATTTAAGCTATACTAATTTTTAATTCATCAATTGAATTTGACGGAGGAGATAGGCAACGCATATTTAATTGCGGATATCCATAGACATTCCGGTGGCTTTACTATCTAAGGGACTTTTAATAGTAAAAAGCTAAACAAAAACATTTACTAGAGGAAATACACATATAACAAATTCTGAGCATGTACACAATTCTATGAAGTGATAATAGTTAATTAACGAGAACAATATCCGCTGAAATGATAAATGAACAGCTCGTGACAGAAAGTCGGGGAATTATTTCTTACGACTTTTATAATTTGTTGATAAACGTATTATTTTTATCCCGACTGTTTTGTGTATGTAGGTTTGTATTTAGTATGTGTTTCCATTCGTTGATTTTTTTTAATTCATTATTTTTTTTATAAATTTACTCCAAGAAATTCAACGGTTTTATAGCGAGAGCAAAAATCCTACTTAATTATAGGCGTTATTTATTTAATCATTCGTCATCAGCTCACTATACGTCCCCACCGAGGGGCTCAGAGCCTACCCTAAGTTAGGGGTGACTTATTATAGGCGTAATTAAAAATAATTAATTTCAATTCCAATAATTTAAACTTCAATGCTACAATAACGCCAATACGCGCAATATCAATAAATTAACCAAAAGACTATCGCTTTTACATCTGAAAGAATTTTATTTCATTCTTTTTAATTAATGGCGATTTTGAGTACGATAAGGAAAACCTTTTTCCATTTCCATTTGTATCCCATAGCTTCAAATTTACCTGACCCTCCCCATTGGACCCTACGCCCAAATTACGGAAAATATTACAGCTCCGAAAGATTGGATCCAATTACACCCTTAACTCTTGTTATTCATTCGAGTATTGTTAATTTAAAAAAGGTACAATAGTAATCCACTTTTTCAATATTTCTATTGGGACAAAAATGTAATTTTATAAGAATCTATCTATACAATAAATAATGAAGTGTCTGTATGTAATATCGTATTTCGCGACCGTGATGTTTTTGCATTGCTTATAAGGAACATCGATTTTTTTATAATAAATTCCTGTCTGTGTTTGTACCAAGTAATCTCCGAAAGACTGGATCGATTTTCATGGGACTTTTACTGGAATGTAGCTGGTGTATGCGGGAGTAACTTAGGCATATCTTTTTAAAACCTTTGTAGCATTTACGGATAAAGAAGCGAAAGGGAAAAAGGTTAAAAAGTATTAGTATGTTATAAATTGTAAAATCTGTTTTGCAAATTCCGCGAAGTATTATTAGTAATAACAATTTAATAAGATAATACCAACGTTCGAGATCACGACAGCATTGCTTAAGGTAAACATGCACTGGGGTTATCTGCGCATATTCATATAATTACTTGACAATGCTTTCATCCAACATTCCATCTCCCACCATCACATACTCAGTACGACCGAGACATCTTACAATCAAGTAAGTAAAAAATATTCAATAATTAAATGTATCGAAAAGTGACGTTAATTTTTCCTTGCAGACTTTAAAATAATTAATAACATTAAATTAATTTAACTGTCTTTACACATGATAGTCATATTTTCTTCGATATTCGATTTAACTAAACAACATCAGAATTTATATCACAACTATCTGTCACCGCTGACTCTGTCCGTGCGGAATTAAAAAAGAAGCCTAATAAGTAGCCTATGTGTTCTTCCAGACTATATTTTACGTTCTAAATTTAAGTAAATTTCCTTAAGATCCGTTGAGCCGTTCCGGAGATACCTTCTAACAAACATTCATCCATCTATCCATCTAAATGTTCGCATTTATAATATTTGTGAAAGTAAGATATGCAATCTTACTTTCACAAATATTTTTTCTTTACTGATATTTCGAATACAAGATAAATAAATGTTTACTGGTGGATAGAAATCGGCTGTCTTGTTACACAATTGTTGTCGAACGTCCCTAGATGTCGTCGTCGGCACAAGACATATTATAGCTCGTTTTCCGTTCAGTTGATCCGTGTTGGGATTTACAATTCCCTTGTTAATATTATCTATTTGACATATGGAATTTAATACGAAATAGATATTTAGAAATATAATATTGTATTCTAATTGCACTTTGGGAATTATTATTGTAAGATATATTATGTTATAAATTAATCCAAATAGAACCTTTGTTAAATTAATAGTTAATACAATTTCAAATTTATAATGCACATTACGATATAATAGATATTAGTACAAAAATATGTTTCTGAACGTGGTATCGTCTTCATGAAAAGATTATTTTTAATTTTTTTATTATTCTTCATTGTACAGTCAGAGAAAAAAATCTTTTACAAAGTATTTACGTACACACTGCAATATATTTTTTACTCTACGGCCACCATAAATCTATATAAAGTACTTTGTCGTGTACTCATAAATTCGACCGACATTCGTTTGGAACGGCGTCCCCTGACGACACCGTCATTCACTTTTACAACGGATACATTTCTTCGTCTTATTTTATCATCGTTTGTCTTTTCTATATGTCCAAATATGCCATTAAAATGCAATACTTGAAAAATCCTTTATCTTTCTGTCTGTCAATTACGAAATATTGTTAGCGGCATAAGGATAAATTATTTATTCTGATTTAAGATATTACTAAACGGCTAAACGTATGTTGGTCGTTTATAATCAGATTTTCTGAGAACTACGTTTCTAATTTAAATTACAATGTAAGTAAAATAATTAGGAACACAGTAATTTTCAGTATGAAAGCTACGTTAGTTCTGGTTTTGCTGGCGTGCGTGTTGGCGCTGGCTTACGGCGACCTAGTGTGCGGGACTAACTACTGCAAACAGCACCCATGCACCACTCGCCTGGCGTCTACCAGCTGCCGCTCGCCATCCCTCTACCGCCCCAACCACGCCGGCAAGTGCGCATGCTGTCCCGCCTGTGTTACCTTACTAGGTACGTATACTTTGATTTAAAAGAAACTTTCGCACTCAGAGATGAACTTAGGAAAGTATTCGCTTAGTGTAGATATCTCATAATAATTCTACACTAAGGGGCAGGTAATCCCTTAACAAATTTACTTTATTTAATGAGAACTACAATGTGTTAACAGTTCTTAATAATGTTAATTATATTTATTCGTAAACTAATTAAGTTAATCTGTTTACCACTGCACACAATAATAATCTCTCTGACAGTAAGGGTTATCGGTTCACGACCGTTTCCAAGACATTGGTCACATTATATGGAAACTTTAGTTGCTCCTTAAAGTTTATTATGACGTAGTTAATTCAAATACAATTCAAGTTGTCATATTAACGCAATTTATAATCAAACAAGCACAACTTAGTTAAACTTAGTTTGCAAACAATATTTAGAAATACATAAATATGCGTGGTTGACTATGGCCTAATCACCCTTAACTTAGGGTAGGCTCCGAGCCCCTCAGTGGGGACGTATAGTGAGCTGATGATGATGATGATCATATAAATAGTTTCATTAAGTTAATACAAGTAAAATAAACTTTCTGGAAAATAACTTATAAATTTATATAATACGTAGTCTAGGTTATAATTTAACGTTTCCGTTGGTGAAATGACACGTGTCCAGTAGTAGATATTACAATTAACTAAGAACAAAATTACGAATTCATTTTATAATGATTTCAGGTGAGGGCGCTGCATGCAAGACTTACAGCAAGGAGCTGGGAGAGACGCCCTCAGCCGTCTGCCGCGAGCCGCTCAAATGCTTGACCGGTGTCTGCACCAAAGTTACTCCTCGCCGTTAACTGAATACAAAAACAAACCTATGTTAAGCTCCAAATAAAAATAAAAAACAAAATAAAAAATTTCGTCTTTAAAAAGCGCAGTATGCACGTATGTATGTAAATTCTTAATTATAAACAATAGTTAACACAGTATGGCTTTTAATTTAACAAGTTTCCTGGCTTAATTGTACACCAGAGTTAGCATCACATTCCACTCTTTGTGGTAGACGAATTTTATTCTTTTACCGTACATATTTTGTTACATTTAAATTTAAATTCGGCATCCGGTCGTGAAATCTTGTTTATTTATTCGCAAAGTGTAGTGTATACTGTATAAAGTCGCTTCATGATCGCGAGCAAGCAAATAGGTCAGTAGCATTTCATCTCGTTTGATGTTTAGTATTCCGAACACGGAACAAGTATTGATGCTGTATTCAACTGCAGCCGGTATCAACAAACAAGCCAAATTGACCTCTTTAATATATTGCATACATTCAAAATTTTAGTAGTTCATAATTTAAGTATATTTCGTACAAAGAACGGAATCCAGTAAGTTAGTAAGCAATCTTAAGTGTTAATTAATACATAAACTTTGGCAATCTACTACTCAAATATTACAAGACTGTAGCTGACTTATTCTCATGGCTTTGATATTCAAGGAAATAGCCCGAAATGTACTCACATTTAATTTTGGTACATAAATATATATCTTCCATCGCACAATGTTTATTACTTATTATACCTTGAAAAAATAAGCTTTTTTTAGTCTTAACTGCCAGTATGTGACATAACTTGAAGAAATAAAAAAGTTATCTTTATTCTACTTCGCGGTCATATGAGCAATGAAACGAGTTACAACTTCAAGTAGCTATGGTTGGAATAAAAATGTATGAATACATAATGAAGTTATTAAATCCAAAGTAATCCTTGGTGATAGCAAAGTTATGTTTTTATTCAATATCCGTTTAGTTTTTTAACGATGGACATCGGAACGTAGTGAGGCACGTCCTTTACTCAGGAGTCGCAGGCGGCGGCGCGAGAATAATAAAAGCTCATAAACATTTTATGCTTTCACTGTTTATACCTCCTGTAGCTCCCTCTACAGCCTTAGGAAGTAAAACTGCAAGGTAAATATCCCATCATCTGCTCTACTACGGCTTTACTGTTAAATTATACGATTTCATATTTATTAGAAATTTAGAATTAGAATAAAGAGAAATACCTTAATAACATCGATTATAAATGCGGCAAATAGGTCGTAAAAGTGTGTATTAGAATATCTCACATTCTTTATCTATTTAATGTTTTTAGGGTTCCGAACCTCATAGGAAAAAAACGGAACCCTAATACGATCACTTTGTTGTCCGTCCGTCTCTCTGTCAAGACTCTTTTTCTCAAAAACGCGTGAAGGGATCAAGCTGATATTTATTTTGATTGAGCTGCTGATGTTTTAACACAAATAATACAAACTAAAGTAAGTAATCGTTTCTAATCAACACTCGTTTAAACTGTCGAGCTTTTCATTTAAATTCAGGTATGTAATTAAAATAATTACATTCGATCAAAAGCGAAAACGTCCTCCCACAGGTTCGCATCAATCAAATTTTCCCAATACATTCTACCTTCCAATAGATTGATAATATGAAATGAAATTGATGCTATATTTAACCTGCAATCTGTTACAAAAATGGATATAAATCTATTGAGATGAATGATGAGGTTTTTGACCTATGAGTTTGTTATAAAAAGTTTTTATATTTAATTAGCTTAACCCCGTATAGCCACGTGAAGTAAAAATCCAAAAAAATGTCTAAACATAGTGTGTAAGAGCGTTAGTGACTCACTAAGTTAAGCAACTGACTTATAATCTGCAGGTCCTGGGTTCGAATACCACCATTCAGCGTTCTTACGGTGAAGGAAAACATCGTCATGCAAACTGTACATATCTGCGAAGAAAGTTAAAGATATATGTGAAATCAACTGACCTGCACTGGGCTAGCGAGGTTAACTATGACCTAGTCACCCCTAACTTTTGGTGAGTTGATGATGATAGTGTTGTGTTTTTTATATTTTATACACTGTTATTATCAAAACAATAGCATTTTGTTTCCGATTTGCTTTCTTCTAGGTACGCAAAACAGTAGTTTTGCTCTCGTGTGTAGCGAGCTTAAGCGATAATGTCAAAGGTCGGGCGCTCGCGCTCTTTGTTACATAAAGTTTATTTGCTTTTCTCGCTCGATATTTGGTGAACCGTTGTTGGTAGCAACACGGTACACAATTAATTGAATCATCAATATTTATTTCCACATTCAAACGAAATTGGTGGAGAAAAGGTAATAGGAAAGTATTTTATTAGCTGTCATAAAATGTGTCATAGTTCTAAAGAATATGTAGGCAATATTGTCGCTACGATACGGCTTTACGGGATATAATATACTATGATAAACAGACATAAAGAAGACATAAAATCGTATCGGCAATAAATCTGACACTTTTATTGCGTGTACAGTAACTGTATTTGTTTCATCAACATAAACTGGATGAATACCTAAATTGAATCTTTCGTTGAGGCTAAAATATTACCTACGTATTTAACAGATATTAAGTCAAAATCTTAGAAAATTTGAAAGAACACATTTCATTAATAAATTAGGGGTGACTGACACCTTGCGACACGTATAAATGTAACAACAAAAATACTTACCAGATTGATATTCTTCTGTGAGTCGGGCCCAAAAATTACACGGAATAAAAAATAGAATTTCTACTCGGCCCTTACGATGAGTCCAAATCACCAATTGAAAAACGCTGTCTTATTGTATGTGTGTTTACAATATGACGGTACTTTAAAAAATGATATAAGAACAAAATAATGAAATCACATTGCCATTACGAGTAATTAAGTCTGTTTTCCTTGAACACCAATGTTTTTATTTATGTATAATTAACGTTGAATTTTTTCTCACCGTTTCCAACTTTTATACTTTTTTTTTATTTATATCATGCGTCTTAATGAGTATTGCCAGTGCGAGTTTTCTTAATATATTCTATTTTTCGTCTGCATTTTTTGTACATCACTAGGTATTTTTCCGTATAAGTAAGTCAAATGCAATATTTTTCTTAAAACATTGTTTTTATGAATTATCTCTAACTTTTCGTTCTGCGATCTGCAGTTTTTTCATGAAAATGTTATACATATTAATATTTGCTAGAATAAAATCCTGATCGTTGATAAAAATGTCGTGGCAAATATCCTACTTTTGTTTCATATTTTGAGATTAATACTTTTACGATAAAATATAATTTTACCTAACATGTGAAAACTGTTTAAAGTAATAATTAAAAGGCTATTACTGTAATATCGAACTGTATAAGCACTTGTATAATTAAATATCAACATCTCTTTCATTACCTTTAAAAATTAGTGTTGACTCGGCAATCGAATTAAAAAATTGAATTAAACGCATTTCTCAACTTAAATTCGCCTTTAATAAATCGACTTACTTATATTAGTACTAAACAAATACTTATTAATAATAATTAAAATAGATTTTATATCTATCATTGCAAATAGCTTCAATCAGACTTGTTATAGAGATAAGAAATTGTTACGATTGGTGAATTCGATTGCATACATGGGCTTAATTTATAAATATTAATCAATTTAATCAAGCAAATATTAAAACTCACACAATCAGTGTGTTGTTGGTGCAACTGATATTTGTTTGGCGTTACAATCGCATCGTCACCCTTCGATAAGACAGTCTAACATTGGACAGTAATGCAATATTAAATGTATAGAACACTCGTGGCACTAAACAAGTATCATTATAATAATCGTTCGCTCTTTGACACCGTTTTGACGTAACAAGAAATACGTCTATTATTTTATTTTAATACCCACTTTCATAAATAATTAGATCAAATAATAGTGCAGTTAAGTATTAAGGTACTTGTCATGGAGTAAATACTAGTTTTAGTGTTTTTAAATGTTTCCACAAGTGTGTTGTGTTAAGTTTTATTAAGTAAATTAAATCGAAGAGAACAGATTTATCAATTTGATATTTGGGTTATTGATGCATGTGAAAGGTTAGTGAGATAGAAAACAATGTAATAAATTACGATAATTTATACTAGATCGAATCTGATGTAATGCATATAATTGTTTAAACATTTAAATAATAATTTTGTTATAAAACAACTGTAGTATGGTACGGACTTGCAGTTTTAACTTTAAGTAGTAAGTGAATTAATATACAAAAATAGTAATTATAATTTAAACGTTATAAATTATGTTAATTTATAATTAGTAATAAAGTACGCAGTACAGTTGCGTCTTTATATGCTTAAAATAATCATTCAAAAATATCAGCTTTATAGTTAAGATCAGAATGAATAAGTTGCAGGCAAATAAACACTAATTATTAAATAACATTATTGTTTTCTTTTAGAATATGACTGAAATTGAAGAACATATTTTGCGAAGACGCAAACAAGAAGTTCTTTTACAAAATGGACTCACAAAGCGAGATGAAGAAAAGAAGCCACTACCAGAATTTATGCATCGGGATTCACCTCTAACGGAACTTATAGAAGGATCACTTCATATACGAGCAATATACCATATATTTGTGGTCATCCTGCTGGTGCTACTATGTGACACAGTGATATACGACTTCGTTGAACGTGGAAAGCAAGTAAAATATCTTATTTAATAATTAAGAAATATTATTTACTAGCTGTAGCCCGTGACTCCGTTTATTAGTAGTCTATGTGTTCTTCCAGACTGTGTTCCACATCTATGCCAAGTTTTATTGAGATCCGTTGACCCCATTTTATAACAAACATCCATACGTCTAAACTTTCGCATTTATAATTTTAGTAAGATATTAACTAACCTGTTAAAACTTATGAGACATAATATACTAATTAGAATCTAGGAATCACGTTAAGTCTGTAAGAACCGACTAGTTTCAGAGTCGTTGGAGATTTTTCATCAGGTACTGATTGTAGCCTGGATTCGAGGTCGCGTTGGGCCTACTACTGATTTATTTATCTTATTAATATTATGAATACGAAAGTTTGGATGTATGGATGGATATATGTTTGTTATAAGGTATCTGCAGAATGATTGCGTGGATTTTACTGAAGGGTATAGATGTAGAACATAGTCTGGAATAACACATAGGCTTCTAATTAAGGATTTTCTAATTACCCGCGGACAAAGTTGCAGACGACAGCTAGTATTATTTATAAAACGTACACGTATTCGTTCTGTTTATATTGATCAATACAATATCTGCGATCATTCCATAAATCTGTTAGAATTCTCAATTATTCAGATATCTTTAATTGGATATTGCATAACCTTCCGACCTTTTACTTAAAAGAATCCGATACCGTATATGTATGTATAAGCAATTTAGTCTTGTACATACAATGACATATATTTTTTTATTATTTTAGGATAAACATCGGAACAACTTCAGTGATCCATGGATTTGGTGACATACGCCGAGGAGCTAAAATCTGGCTGTTAGAACTTGCAATCGCACTCGCTTTCTATCCTGGGCTAAGATTATACGCTGGCACCAGAAAATTCTTAGTGAAATTTCCAGGTAATATGATAATATTCCACTGAAAAAAAAAATAATTTTTATTATCTATATCCGTCTATGATTACATGTCATATAACTCGGATAGTTTATGGCCAGTACCCCAGGTAACTTAAAAGTTCGTGTACATTGTTATAATAGTTTCGATAGACAGATAAGTGGTCCCGGATTGACATAAATCGGAAAATCCGCCTATGCATTACCTGTCTGTGCTTAAGAAAAGGGATTTTGTAAAAGAAAACAGTATTGAATTAGATTGGAAGCTCACTCACAATCCTACATTCAATCTTTAGCGATAAAATAACTCTGTTATAGACGAAAATGTTTATCTCTTGCCACGTATCGTTTGTTTTGTAAAGAAACAGCAGACTTGCTTTGTTTACCACTCCGCTAGATTCAGTCAAAAATCTGTATACATTTTATAAATGTCAATTAAAGCTTTTTAAGAGTTTCAATGGGTACATTGTGTAAGAGAGAGTAAGAAGTGAGTGAATTCAGATATATGACAGCTTATATAAATGTATATAAGATGTAGTATATAAGATGATTAAGCGTATATATGATTATTTTTATGCTGAAGCGGCACTAAAAATATGGTCAATCATGGGAATGCTTGGCGTTGCTGTTCTGGAGGTGACGGTAATTGCTATACCCACCTGGGATCTGGGCAAGAAGAAACTTGCACTAGCCTCCTCTGTTGCTGTTACTTGCGAAATGGTAAGTAAATTGACCATTTCTTATACATTTTACTCGTGATTTGTTACATGAATTAATATAATCAAGTACTAGGAGAAGTTTAGGTCTCTTTAAATGTTTAATCCGGAAAACATATGTTTCATTCATATTATTTATCATTATATCAAGGAGATACTTTTTCGATCCAATCGTCATCATCATCGTCAGCTCACTATAGGTTCCCATTGAGGGGCTCGGAGCCTAGCCCATGTTAGGGGTGATGAGGCCATAGTCAACTACGCTGGCCAAGTGCGGGCTGATTGACTTCACACTTATCTTTGAATCTTTTCTCAGATATATGTAGGTTGCATAACGATGATTTCCGTCACAGTAAGAACGTCGGATAAATGTACATATGTAAATCGAAAATCAAAAAACATATTAGTACATGGCGGGATTTGAAACCAGGACCTGCAGATTGCAAGTCAAGTACTTAACATCGACGCTCAATCGATCCAATATTTGTCGTATATTTCACGTACATATTTTGTGTTAAATTTATTAAGATTTCAAATGTTTTATCCATTTATATATTAATCTATAAAATACCTAGCCATAAATTCTAATATCTATAACCATAAATCTAAAACTCTAAACTAAACTTAGTCGTGTTATCGTTGGTTTCTAAGACCATAATCCGTGTATAAATCACATTATCTCTAATTTGTCGAAGATAATAAAAGGGATGATATGTTTACAGGGATTTTAATCTCAGAAACCAACGATAAGACAAATACGTACAATGAAATAGCTTCCAAATGAAGCAATTTAACTGCGAACTACGTTAGGTGCAGTCCAATATCTGTAACGAAGTAATTAATGATTGCGGTTTGGTACACCGCAACCGAACCACCGCTACGTGTTTGCAGACTGCTATCGTGAAATAATACCTTCGAACATACCACTGTTTATTTAAACTAAAGAAAAAGTAAGATAAAGTATATTAATTCACATATCTATATCAAAAGAGATACTTAAGATTTAATGGAAGAGCCAACTACGAATAGAAACAAAGAGTATGTTGTTAATATGCGTCTCTAATTAACTATCAAAATACGTAATGACACATCTAGTCGTTATAGATGTATAGTTTTAATTTTTGATATTTAATATTGCATATTTTAAAGAGTATTTTTGAAGTTAAATTTTTTTAATTAATTTTATTACTAACAGAATGTTGGAGACATACTTTTGCATTATTAATCTCATAGTACTATAGTAATTTCTTTATCACGAAAATTAACCTACTTATCTGTGTTTATAGGTTATCTAGTGATCGTAATTTTATAACGTCATGTGTATACTACTCCATTTTTATGTATTCTTTATTAAGTCTATAAAGTGTTACTGTTTTAATATTTCGACGTATAAATAAACGGAATGTTTTAATAACATAACGACAAGGGAATTTATAGCTAATACAAGCCATGCGGCTCAAATCTCCTGTAAGATATCGTTTAAATATGTACATTTTTTTTTAATTTGTACCCGTGTTAGATACATTATCTTGATGAAAATAAATTAGGTTAAAATTATACTAATGTATCATGTTTATAATTTTACATTCACCAACATATTTAAAATGGTGAAGCATATTTTAAAAGCTATTCTGTAACATGTATTAGAGTTTACAGTTCACTAAAATTATACCAAAGTTGTATATAACTTTTATTTCCCTTTTGTCTACTAAACTTTTAAGTAAAATCGATCAAAATCTAGACGTTTGGAGCTTAATTTCAAAGTTTGTTAATTAGATGTGTACATCACTTGTGTATATAAGATAGGTATACACCTCCCTACGTCTGTATTTTGGGAGACTGTAGCGAACTTCGAGCTCACGTCTGACGTCAAAGTAATTCGCAACAACAGCTATCATGAACTTCCACGAGCGCTCGCACAACTACCGAATACCTAAATTAGTAATTACGCAACTCCAAAGAATGTTATATCGAGTTTTGGAATACTTTGTTATGTTTAAGGCGACACTAACAATAAAAAGAAAAATAAGAAAATGTCAATGTCAGTGATTATAACATTTTATGTATTTTGTAAAAAGAATCACAAATAAGGATTTTTGATACCTCTTCATGCAAACTTTAACTTCACTGTGAGATAGACAAGATTTTAAGAACATTTCTGTGTCAAAAGGAAGCGTTATTATCTCATGGTTCTATCGTCGTTATATTGTGAAAGATTAAAAATAATGGAAACCTGTATGTAACCATGAAAAAAATCTTATATTTCGTGACCGTGGTCTATTAGTGTAGATCGTAACAAAAAATCTATTTTTAAAAAACTTTATCTCTATCCGTTTCTTCTTCTTCTTGAGGTGCCTCTCCGACTAGCGAAGGTTGGCGATCAGTTCTCCATATTTATCCGTTATTATCTATCCGTTTATCTGTCCGCAAATCCGCAGTACTGATTGACGAGACTTTTAGTGAAAGATAGCTGATGTGTGCGAGAGTAGCATAGGCTTTTTTACACCAACAAAACTGCTGGCAGACGCTAGTTCTAAGTAAATTTTATTTTTATTCGTGTATAGAAACTTTAAATATACCGACTCAAATCCATAAGCCATGAGGTCACCGTTAACAGGGCCTCATATGTGACGTCTAATAACATGCTCGCACGTATAAAGATTCATAGATCGTGCGGCGAAACAGCGTCGAAAGTGAAATGTAACATAAATCAGGCTAGACCCTTGTCAAGGAGGGGAGCGGGGCTGCTAGTAAATAACGCACCGGTTGTGCCGACAGCACCCCATTACCCGGAGCCTCGCCAGCTGCTACCGAGCTGGGGTAAGCTGGGCTCTTGCACCACCTACGGCTGTCAACGCATCATTTATTATTTATATAATTTTGAGGTTTATATCAAATACCATCATCAAAACTGGTTTCTAGATGTTACCTAGTTTCTGCACGTGTCTATTTTTATAACTGGTCAAGGGCACTATTACGTGATCTCGTTTGAAAACTAAAGTTATCCGTGCTACACAGGGATTAGTCGACAAACACTGTAATTTCCGTTATTATGCAGTTAACGTTGTTTATAAGTTGCTTTTATTTGCGTTGCTTTTATCACTAAACGAAGTTACATTTACATCAATGTGCGGTGGAAAAGATGCTTAAACCTTTCGATGTATTAAAAATTAAATGTTAAATTAAATGTAACAACTGTTTGCTATACTTATTTCCTTTCGGTTACAAAAGAAATAAGTACCAACGTCTCTTTGATACTGTTAAAGCTTTCAGCGCCTCCATTGACTCCTTTTATCCGTAATCCTCTTGAGAGAGGCAAGAAGCGAGGAGTAGAAAATTTTCAACAAATATTTCATAAACTCTTGTAAAGTTAGTAAGGTTTGCACAATGATGGATCTGCATTTTATTCCTTAGGGACTAAGAGATAACTAACGTTATAAATAATTTAATTCTCATATTGTTGCTTAAATTAAATTTGTATATTAAAACTTTCTAAGCTTATTTGCCGGGCCAGCATTTTTATTTCTTTCATGTAATTTACAGTTCAGATTTGCAATGAAAATTCAAGCGGCAGCCGTCGCCTGCGCCCCGCGATGTCGAGACCATCTTGCGAAACTGCCTACATTCAAACACTACATATACTTTCTATTCGCACCCACCTTAGTATATAGAGATGAATATCCAAGGTATGTATGGGTTCTATCTTTTCCTTCACAGCGTAGACATAGCGTAAGCAATTGTGCGGGTCATGGTTTAAATGAAAGTGTAACTTTTAATGAATAAATATATAACATAACAAAGTAGTTAAAATCGGCTAAATTTGAGGCCGAAAATTAAATATCGTAACTAAAAAATAATTTTTATTTTATTCAAAGAACCTTTAATTTTTATTTGTGCGTTATTTTCTTTGCAGGACGAAGAAAATTAGATGGGGCTTCGTATTATTTCATTTTCTGGAGGTAGCGGCAATAATATTTTACAACAGTTTTCTTTGGGAAAGATTTATTTTACCGTACTGGTCAGATTACGGAAAAGAACCCAAAGTAAGTACTTTCACATTTTATTCAATTTCCTTTCTAAAGTTGTGATAAATCTCGTGTGTGATTTATATTCGTTATATGCGAAAATTGGTTTTATTTTCTTTTAAATAACATAGCATTTTTCGTTCTAAGTTATTTTATTCAAATAAATTTAATCTAACTTAGACAAGGATTACAAATTATACTGTCAATTAAGAAAATTATTGAAACGAACTTTAATTTTTTATTATTTAAATTTAAGCCTATGCACAATAAAAAGCTAATTAATTAAAAAAAAAAAAATGGTTCCAAAAGTCAAAATTATAATATTTCGAGAATAGGAACCTCAGTAATTGAACACTACTTTCTTGGTTCATTTCAAACATATTAATGTTTTTATCCGAAGCGTTCCGGTCTCAAAAACTCAACGCTTTACCGAGCTTGTGTGAAATATGACCGGGTATAAATCTGGCACATTCAGCAAATATTTTTTGTACATATTCGAAAATAAACTATAGTAACATATGTTTAATTCAAACGATTGTTACATTTGTTATCTGAAACTAGAATTTACACAACCAACAATTGGAGTTCGGCCAAAATATCCATGATTGCATTTCCTATGGCTGACCGATGCACACTTCAAACTATTCCAAGTCCGACCAAATGTTCCTTTCAAATATAATTTCCGTCAGTGGTTGACTAACACCAGAAGTTATTGTTATTACAGTTGGCTAGTAATAAGAGAATTGTGTTTATTTCTTAAGTTGTAATACAACCAAATAATAAAGTCCTCTGGCCGTCTGATGCCTTCAATGTACACAATAGAAAGCCATTAAGAAAATTGTCGTTACATTCCCTAAAAGGTTCTGTTTTCTTTCAAAGAAAAATCTTGGAACAAATCTAAAAACACTTACAGTGTACAAACACAAAGAACTTCAATATGTAATAAAACATATCACAAGAAAGCTTACACGCAAATACAATTTGAATAATTCGAGTATATTTTTGTTGCCATTCATTCTTTTTTTTTTGATGGAATCTATTTCGAATAGGGCCTTATTTTATAAGTTATCACATCGCTTGCCTTACTTTTGATTGAAATAAAAATATTATCTAGTCTATGGATATTAAATATAGTTAAATTGCGCTTCGTACGTAATAAAAAAACGAAGCCATAGACATGATTTTCTTTTCTCGAAATACTGAAAAAATGACTAAGAAAATTTTAATCACTCACTTGACAAAGAACTTCGGCTAAAAAAATATACAGAGGAAAAGTAATAATTAATGTTGTATTTTTTGTTTCGAGGTGGAAGCGGGCACTGTGGTGCGCGGCATGTTCGCCTGCGTCCTGCCCGGCGTGATTTCCTTCCTGTGCGGTTTCTATTGTCTACTCCACGCTTGGCACAACGCTTTTGCAGAGATGCTAACATTTGGCGACCGACTCTTTTACGAAGTAACTTTTTGAAAACTTCTAGCACACAAAACCTTTTAAATTAAGACTTTAACAATCTTGAAACGAAGCAAGGTACATAAACTAGACACTGATCCGCATTGGAGATGTTAAAGGGATTATCCGTCCAAGTAATTTAATTAGGAAAAGCCTAAACCCGGCACTTAATTGTCGAGAAGACTGCTAAACTAAATAACCGTAATCTCCCGACGCCAATTCTGTAACGAATATACTAATACTCAATTATAATTAATGAGCTTTTATCGTCTAATTTATTATATATAAATCTACTTTTGTAACAACGTTCCTTACCTCTTGGGAGCCTTTACTCAATTTACCGAAAACACAATGAACAAACCAGTACCTCGTTACTCCGATTAGTTAATCTTTTTAGTAAGAGCCAAATGTTCCGCTTATGGATCTCACATGCTTTATAACATTGTACTCTTGTTGACAGGAATGGTGGACAACTTCTCAGTTTTCTCGTTACTATCGCGCGTGGAATCGCGTCGTACACTCGTGGTTGCGTGACCACATCTACAGGCCGCTGTCACCGCGGGCTGGACGAGCACTTTCCACTCTAGCAGTTTTTGCTGTAAGTTGTTTTACTTCTAGTCTCTGTACAGAAAGGTAAAGCACCCCGATTGATTCGATTTCTTTGGTATTTGGTATCTTATACGAAAAGAACTACGTCAGAAACAGTAAAAAGTTGAGTAATTTGGGTAGGTAACTTCGACGACCCGGACCAAAAGAGGAAACAAACAATATTATATGCAAGCGATTGTTTGTGAAATAAAAAAATTGATAATTTTATAGGTAGACTATTTTTATTTTCTTACTCACATTCTTACGTTATTACATTAGTCGTTCATACATTTATAATCATTCCTAATTGTATCTATTAAGGTGTAATTGAGTAGACCTGCGCGTTATTCTGTGACTAATTTATAATGTATGGGCTCGGTATCGAGGCAACGAGGTCCAAAATTAATACAAAGTTACGGAACAAAGACTTATGTATCAGCTTTATCAAATTATAATGATGGCAAGTATTTCATTACAAAATTAATTATGTAAAAATAGTTTACAAGGTTTACACAATTATAAAATTTACATGTAAGGGAAGTCTTTTGCTACTTAAGTACAGGTCTTCCTAGTTAAGGAGCCAAGGCAACATTGAATTTTGAATTTTTTGCGTATAACGATAAAGATTTTTCATATTTAAAGTTTTTATGCTTGAGGACTTATTTTTCTTATTATTTTTTTAAGGTATCAGCAGTGGCACATGAAGTGATTCTATCCTTATCCTTCGGTTTCTTCTATCCAGTACTTATGATGGAGTTCGGAGGGCTTGGCTTGCTAATGTTGCCGCTCACAGCGTCAACTGGACGACGCTTTCCCAGCTTCCTTAACCTTCTAATGTGGCTGTCTTTCTTCATAGGCAATGGTATGAAAAATCTTAACTAGTATTATAAAGGTGGAAGTTTGGTAAACCAGAACGATTCAACTGATCTCGTTACAACATAGGCTACTAATCTTTTTTTTTAACACCGCGCTTACGGAGTCCTGGGCGACAACTAATGGCAAATATTCTTATGTAAAATTATCGAACAATTTTTGATTAATTACTAATTTTTTTCACGTTTTCAGTGAGTTAAATTGTTGTTTATATGAATTTTTGCAGGTCTGTTATGGAGCCTCTACCCGATGGAGTTTTTCGCAAGAAAAAATTGTCCGCCCTCGCCAAATGACAGCTTTTTTATACCGAAATCTTGGTCTTGTCCGGAAATAGTGCTGAAACCTAATTGGAGTTTTCAAAACCCATTTAATATAATTTATTAGGTGAAAATAGTTATAGCAACTTTAACTATGTAATAATACAAAAGTACGAACTGCAACGTATCATTTCTACGGAATAGTCGTCACGAAAAAATATGACTGGTAGAAAACAGTAATATCAAATTAGTGAACAATGAAATTATAAAAAAACAAAATCAAAAACATAATAACCGGGTTATGTCCAGAAAAGATTTTTGAGTGACTGGTTTTTCATATTTTAAGGTTTTTTTTAATTGAGCTGTAGGTACAGTCGCGGTAAACAGCGGTTTTCTAATTACAGAAAAATTACCTATTCCTTGCTACGAGACAATTCCGCCTCTTCTTACAACTAACTAAGTAGGTAGCAATGAGGTAACAAACTACGAGATTATAATTAAAAGCAATTACCCGTGTACTGTCCCTTTTTCGTATATTTAAAAGTTGCGTCCTTTGGGTTATTGTTTCGCGTCGTCGTCTCTATGTGTACAAAACGTCTAAAAAACTAGCTTTTAAGGTGGAACGTCGCTAGATTCCCTAACTGTACCTACATATTTCGTATGGTAAAAAACCATTCTTATTTTAAAACTGCCTGTTATTTGTGATGACTGTAGTATACTAGCACTGTTATTTTTTTTATTAAAATCAAATTACTAAAATTAACTACAACTAGTTTAAATTATTATCCTTTACCTAAATATATTCGATTACATTTTGTTAAGGAGTGTATCGTAATAAATAAATAAAAAAAAAGAATAAGTGTTATTCATTTGTACAATATTACTTTGGTATTATTTGAAAACAAAATTTTCTCATAACCATAAATTTCACTTCACGAAATTACGACCTTCAATATTATTTTTGTCTCAAGTAACATTTCTGTATTTCCCAAAAGACAGGAACATGTATTCGATTCGAATGAACTCGATTTTTTAATAACGTAATAGACTCGAAAAAATGTAACATAGATTAAAATTTTACTCTATAAAAGTAAATAAAAACAAATTTTAAATTTGAATATTTATTTGCATTAAAAAAATTGCTTATTAAAATTATTAATACATATGGCATTTACTAGTTTACAAATCTATTCATCTTAAAATGTGAAGAGTTCCATTATAGTATTTTCAATATATGTACGTTAAACTTAACATTAATTACAACAATGTTTATAAAAAAACCGTCATATAAAAATGAATAGGAATGTAATTATAAATGAATATTTTTGATAATCTATGTTCATACAAAATCCAGTCATTATTACCAACATCAGAAATACATTTAAAAATGTTTATGAGTAATTGATTTTTTAATATGTCACATCTTTAAAATATTATAAATCTTTGATGTCATTTTAATATCAGAATTAGTCAGTGCTCAGATTTGGCACAATAAATTGTAAAGACATAAATCTTAAATACAAATATATTATAATAAACCTAAATCACATTGGTAAAAGCTGTGTAACAAACTCTGTCAGATCGCGAAATAATCAACATAAGCAACACTCATAATCTCAGCAAAGCATGTGCATTCATAATTTAGACAAAATATTAAATCTCACAAACACTAACAAGGTTAATAGAAAATTTTGGTATAGAATTTATTCTCACAGCCCCTACTGACTATTATAAATACTATATTATATCTATATAAGGGTGATAAATAAAAAAAATGTGATTTACTTAGCATGTGAAATAATATGTGATCAAAATACGAATAAAATTTTTCTTCATTTAAACAGCGGGTGTGCGGTCCTGTGCCTTGAACAACGAAGTTGACATCCTGTTGAATAATAAAAAGTATGAGTCATTGAAAACTAACAAGATAAAGTATTGTGCAATTAAAAAAATATGCAATTATTTCATCATTTGATGACACATCACAGATTTCACAAAGATAATTGCTCAAGTAACAAGTTTTTTCTACATCCTAAAACCTCTAAGCCTAATAGTAATAAGCATCTTCTCAAAATTACAGATTATTGCAGCTTACTTTAAAGTTACATTCTGAAATCTACAGGCATATTTGCATAATCATGTTAGCCGATGATAAAATGGAAATCTTTGGCTGACCCTATAGATCAATATTGTAAATAATTTTATCTTTATATGATACAGTTCTGTGTACACTTACTTGCTTATCATGTGCTTGTAAATATAAACTGGAATTATTGTAATGTTTACAACAGATGGGCTTGCTTCAATAACACGAGCAATTTCCTTATCTTTCAAGCCCACAACATTTATTGTGTTTATTTCCAATAGCTGATGATCTGTGAGCAAGCCGTTACGAGCTGCTGAAGAGTCCTTCACTAACCCCACAATATTACCGTCCTTGAATTGGAAGCCCACATGGCCGAGAGAATCTTTATGAAGTGTAATAGTTCTCTCGAAAGGTCTGAAACAAGCGGATTTTTTATGAAAACTACTATTGCATGCAATCACTAATCAGGTCAAAGGTAAACAGTCACAAGAATAATATTGTTTGCTGTTCATTTAGGACGTAAATTTCATCATATCAAGAGTAATGTGACAAATCTGTGAGTCTGACAATATCTGTTTTGTCCAGTCTAGATCTAATTAGAAGTCTAGCTGTTGAGGATTGGTTAGTATTCAAATGACAAATTTTTAGATACAAACTTTAAAGGTGCTTTTAAGACAAATAAAATAATTATTATCTCTTTCCTTTATTCAATCACAATATACAGTATACTAATTAACCTAAGTATGTTATGGAATGCAGAACAGGAAAGATAATATATTTAATTTTAGTCTAATATTAAGGATAAAGGAGAGCTTAGTGTTGTTTACGCAAGTTCATTATTAATAAGCAACACAATTATAATTACTCATTTCATGCAAAAAGCAGTTAAATCATTATGCAGTGGCTGAATATCCACCAAGGAAACCTTTGTCTGATTTATGTTTTAGCAGTAATCAATTTTGCCAATTCTTGTAAATAAAATGTTTACAATCCACTCAAAAGTTTAGTAATAAGAAAATTAGAATTAGATAAATTCATAAAATAGTTTATACCTGTCACGAACAGCCATAGTGATTCCATTAGTAGGAGCTTTCTTCAATATTGCGTGGCATTGATCCATTGTCATACCTGCCAGTGACACATTGTTGATCTCCAGCACTTGGTCACCAAAACGCAACCCAGCAAGTGCTGCCGGGCTGCCATCAGCCACATAACAAACAAATACTCCATTGTTTACAGAGTGCAGTCTCAATCCGCATTTACCATCACGGTCTTTGCACAATACTACTTGGCGTATAGCTTGAGTGACAGTTGCTTTAGCCAAGCTAAGGGATTGAGATGAAAGTGGTGCAACTAAGGTTGCTAGTGAGCCAGATGGTTGCATCTAAAAACAAAGAAACTTTGATAGGTACTTACTTTAATATATTTCAATATGAAACAAATGTAAAGTTTGTAATATTAATGTGTCTGGCATGATAATGTTAATATAAAGTAAGCTACTAAAACTTTAAGAATCTTACTAGAATTGTGTATATGTTCATTTAATACTTACAGTTTGAATCTGGTATTCTGGCATATTGAGAGCAATAGTATCTTGAGATAGTTCAAGGCCCATGTAGTCAGCTAGTGCAGGATAGACCGGTCCAGTGGAAGGTCTTTGCATAGCCACTGGGTTATAAGGTGGAGGAGCATGTACTTGAGCCATTTGACTCCTCACCATATTATCTACATTCATATCTTCCAGCGACGGATAAAGAGACATTTTGAAGGCTGAAATGGAAGTAATACTAAAATTTATTGAACGAAATAATGTCAAAGTGCATTACTCATTAACGATAAGGGTTTTCCCCACACCCGTATTACAATCACTGTTTTAAGAACGAGAAATGTGAATATTTTGACATTTTTGTGATATTTTACTTCGATTCATTCGTGTGTAGGTAGGTAGTAATATTTTACTATATTAACTACGTCGAAGAAATGAGAGTAATATTTAAAGCGATACTCATATGTATATGGGGTAAAATTTAACTGAACAAGAAAACATAAAACTTAATTATGATTCTGCACTGATAAACAAGTACGTACAAACAGAAACGTATTTCTTACCTAGTAGATACTATTAAGAATAAATTGATACCTTCCGAAACACTGGAAATCACAATAAAAATCTAAAACAAGACAAAACAACAATCTGCCAAACTGGCCTGGCATAGACTAAGAGCATAACTCAGTGAAAAACAGCATTATCTTGTTGGTTTTGTGTTAGTAATTATAACAACATGATCTGAAAACTATATGATCTTGACGACTTTTACATTTTCCACAAAGAATGCTGTCCCTGCCCCTACCAGCCCGTAACGAAAAACTTCCTTTTTTCCAGTTTTTGTTAACTTGACAAACTTAGTAAATTATCTGTGGCCATCCGTCATTCTTCACCTGTCACTGTCAGTAACATGAAAATGTATCTGATGTTATTATGTGTTATGCTGTCATTGTAATATAATTTTGATATTGGGGTGTAATTAATAATGTAATTACAAATCTTTATGTTATTAATATTTATAATTTAAAGAAGAATATGGAAAACACTACTAGTAAACACCGTACACCGAGGTAAATGTAATAAAAAAATGATTTTATCCTGAGCAAATATTGGATATCATGTTATGTGAATAACGTAAATCAACTATTAATAAAGTTTCAATATTTTCAACCAACTCATAAAGTGCATATACTCATAATGGATAACTTATTAATTAAATTATTACTAGGTTAATACTGCATACTACATTTATAATCAACACATATTTTATTTATTATTTCAAACAAAAATAAATAGTTATTTACATGCATGAGGTATAAATTTGGCCTGTCATTAAATTATTATTTAGTAATTAGCTTATCTTCCCTACCCCTTACACTTTTCCATGTATTATTTTCAGTCAATGTAGAGAATGGGAGAGGTTAAGAAGAAACAGATTTAATGATGCAATTAGTAAACTTGGAGAAATTGTAAAGGAAATATTGAAAGATAAGCCCCAATTTGAAGCATCAAGTAATGTACAATATCCCAAAATAGAAATTGTGCAAAAGGCAATCTTATGTCTAACAACATGTGTTCAAGAAAAGACTCAGTTAAGTAAGTGCTTAATATACGCTACAACTATTTTTTAAATATGTTAACCTAACATCACATAAATTATGGCAGTAAAATCTTAATAAGTACCAAGTGTTAAAGAATACTGATTACTTTATTAAGAATATTTGAAAAATTTTCAGAAGCAGAAATTTTAGCATTGCAAGTAAAACTTGAAGCAGAAAAGAATGTAAAGCCAGACAAAAAAGATGCTTGTATACAGGTGTCAGCTGTGGTGTGCAAAAAAAATAAAAGTAAGTCTAATTTTGCATAATTTTAATAATGTATTAAACCCTAAATGCCTTCCTCTGATGGAGAAGAATGCACAGAAAGGGATATTTCCCGTATCTGCTAGTCCCATCATCTACCAGATGCATCTACAAAAGGGTAGGAAGCAGAAGACGGCTAAAATTAATTCTTCCACATGCACACTCATTGGTCATAATTAGAATTACTTACACTTGCAGCCTGTCTTCTGTGTTGTCTTGATATTTCACTTAATAAAACATGATATGATGATGCCCAGTTCATCTAGTGATATAACCAGATTGAGACCATTCGGTACTTCTTCAGATTGAGTGGGATTATTAATTATTTTTATGTACAACCCTATTTTTACAGATGGCAAATTTGTTAAATTGGTTATGTTACAAAAATCAAAAAAGAAGAGTTTAAAAGATAAACCTTCTGTTACACCTAATGAAGCTGTTAAACAGAATAATGAAGCTAAACCCTTAACAGAAAATAAAACACCTAATAAAAATATGCAAACATTACCAAAATTATTGCCATTAACAAGCACCAATAATAAAAAGGGTGAGTGACTTATGTTCATGTTTTAAGCTAAATTGTTTGCAAATAACATTAAAAAAATTGTATTTTTCCAGGAATTGAAAATACTATTGTAATGCTACCAAGTACACCATACATTTCCTTCCCACAAAGGCCCTTATTATTCCCAGCAGTGCCACCTACTATTGTCTTTTTAGATTCAAATTTACAACCAATAAATAAACCAGCAACAATACCCATTATTAACAGAAACAATGCAGACATGACAAAAACAACAATGGTTAATGTTTTGCCCATATCAGCTTACTCGCATCCAATGTCAGCTACCAAAACTAAGAAAAACAATGTAAAGCCAAAGCAAAATGTTAAGAGGAAACATATTAAAAAACTTGATAAACAAAGCAATGAATCTGGTGAATCAATCACTAAAGATGCAAAAACAACATCAAATGAAAATATAAATTGTACAAAGGAAGTTAAAGTCACTGAAGAAATTACGAAAATTTCAAACACTAATGATTGTAGTAAAGAACTAAATGAAAATAATGAAAACAATATCTGTATAAAAAATAATAGTGATTCCACAATTAATGATAAAGCTCAAGATAAAAATGAAAATGTAATAAAGACTCCAGAAAATTCCGAGCCAAATACCACATGTATTAGTACAAGTAATTCTGATTTAATAACTTCTGCTTCCGTAGTTCAGAAATCTACCGAAGTATTAAATAATGAAACAAGGGAAATAAATTTAGAAGGTTCTTCTAAACCAGAAAAAATATGTCCCGAAAAAGGGTTATTATTAGTAGAGAAAGATAAGGTAAATAAATTACCTAACATATTAGATACAGCATTATGTGATAATGTTGTTGATGGTGGCAATGCTCGCTTAGAATTGGCTGAGGAATTTTTAGCTGCTTCACCAACTGCAGCATTTCTTATGTCATTCCCATTAGTTAGTGGCAACAGAGCAGACAGTCCTGCCGAAGAGCATCAAAATATTCAAACAAGTCTAAAGGAAAATCATCAAAGGAGGAATGAAGTTCCTTCACAACCCCCTTATTTTCCAAAACCACACGATGTAAAAGGAAAAATAACTAAAACCGATCAAAATATTACGCAAAAACAAACCGAACAGCAAAAGTTTATTAGTAACGCAAATATTCCAAAGGAAATAGAACCGAAAGTATCTACTTTAATTACGAATTCATCCAATGACAATCCTTTCTTAAATCTGAGTATGCCATCACTTGCTCCAACAAGTTGTCCTCTTACTGATTCAACGTTTTCATTAGATTTTGATTGTACTGTATCTAAAGCGAATCAACCAGTCAGTGTTGCAAGCAGTAATAATTTCTTCTATAAAAGTGATGCATTAAGTTCTACAAAGACCTCTATTTATAGCACCAGTAACATTTCTTCAGGTCATGAATTCAATAGTCTTGGACTTTATCCTTGTGCGATGGAGAAATTTACTACTAAAAATAAATCAGATTTTTCCAATATGGAGGAAAATCTGATGAAGATAGGACCCTCGAGACTTACGTATGACATCGACCTCGGTTGGTCGCACAAGGGTTTTGATTTCGTTACTTGTACTACAACCTCGACTACTTTTAATAAAGATAATATTTTAACTTCAGCCCCATCGCAATACTCTACAGCATATAATCCATTTAATCCGGAGTTTCATGTACCGCTTGTTACAAACTCGAGCAAAAAAGATATGTCCTGTAAAGCAATAACGTCTTTCCCTGAAGCTATTACTAGTTTTTATTCCCAGCCAACTAATTTATGGTCAGAAGATATGACTTTTTATACGAGTAACAACTTTTCTAAAAATTTTACACCTAAGCCACAAAATTTCGTCTCAATGGACCACAACTCAACAAATGCTGCTCTGAAAACAAGTGCAGTTAAGCAATACGAAACAAAATTGCCACCGGATACTGCAACAAACCAACTCGTTAAGCCTTTGATAGAAGGCCCACCAATAAGTGACAAATACACAAAAAAGTCTCCGAGTAAAATGCACATTAACTGGATGACTTCTGAAATAAGGCCAATGCAAAATAATTGCAACCCAAGTCAAGCAAACGTGAAGGATAACCACAAACCTTTATACCCTCAAAACATGCCGCAGAAAAAACAAGATCATAACGAAGGAAACTATTTTCCTATCAATATGCAAAATTTCCCATCACAAGTCACCCAAGAGGAATTTCAAGTGTGGCCAACAGCGAGACCAGTCGGTACTACTGAAATCAGTATAGAACCTCCGCCTATTAATTTACCAACACTGGTTGGTGATTTAGCACTGGGTCCTCATGATAAAAAGAAGAATGACGCTATTAACAGAGTTTTACCTCAAACAGATTTGCAAAATTGCAATAATTTTTTCTCTGTGACACAGTTAATGAATCGCTCATCAGATGTCATGCCTCCCCGGTATCAAGGGGCTAATATGGATACGCATAAAACAAATCCCAGCAAACAAAATATTCCAAACGTTAGCAATGACACACATCGTAAGGGATTGCGACTAGACACGCACTTAGCACAACCATGTCACGTGTTTGAGACCAAACCCGTAAACTATGAAACAATGGGACATTTTACACAAAACAAACAGAAAAATAATAAATCTGATAAAAGTGCGAAAAACACAAAAACAAGTTATTCAGCTGAAGCTTTGATAAGAGGTGGACCTTGCAATCAAAAGACTCAAGACACAATATCTAAATTTTTGCTGCCACCACAAAAATATAATGATTTTAACGTAACACAAGAGAGTGGAGTAGCTCAAGTATCACATTTTCCTCCTTTACTTGAATACCCAGATAATAGTTACGCAGGTCAACAATTTTCTGGTACAACTTTGTATAATTCAACCACAAATACCATATCCAATTCATTTTATTCCAACTTTATGCCTGGAAGTAGCAATCTGATGACCGGTAATTACGCAAGTGGACATTTCCAAAGTGAATTCATCGATTACAACCAACCTGCTGAATGCAATTATACTAATTACAAATACGACGATTTGAAAATGAAAGCCAATACAGCTCTCCTTCAAGATAAATCTCTTCCAACTCAATACAAAGGATCTAGAAGGGAATCAACGACAAAACACAAATTGGAATGTTCGAAAAAAGAATCAAGTAAAAAATGCAATAGTAAAAGAGCTAAACTTACCAACGAAGTTGAAGAATGGAATGACTCCGGGCATATGCTATGGCAAAGTAAAGCTCCAACGAGGAGGCATCCTAATATTTCGGAAGACTATTCTTTCCCGAACTATGTCGGCAATCAGATATCAGCGAGTAGTCAGTACCAACCGGAATTGTTTAATACTCATTTAATGCCCTCTAACATGCAAAGCGTGGGTCATAATATTGACCGTTCCCTTGCTACCTTCCCTCCTACTTCCCGTACCAACTTTAACCTCAGTACAATATTTCCAGAAATCACTATGGTAAGAAATATAACATATCCAAATACATAATTTTTCTGTTAATTTTTATTACAAATAAAAATTGTTTGTTGCAGAAAGTGCAGTGATGAGTGACGAAACATTTTTATAATGGTATACGCAATTAAATTAACGCTGTGATTTATTTATAAGTGAAAAAATATTGAAATATAAGTTTTGTTTATTATATTTATCATCAAAATGTAATTTGTGCTTTCATTTTCCTTTCCTTTTCTACGGTAAATTTGTGCAGCGCTTCACCTTAATTTTTTTGACGCAACTATTATACATGAATAAACATATTTTGTGATAATAAATAACGCATGATTTTTAAACTTAAAAAAAAAGTATGACACTTATTGGTATGTGTGTCAAACAAACCATGATATATAACAATAATGACACTGAACGTGTTAAATATTTACTTAAGTTATTTCAGTTTAACTCACTCTAAACGTTTTATTTGTAAGATTGCACGTTACGAACCTACTGACTTATAAATAACATCGAACATTGGTTGCAACATTGACATAAATAAACTTTGTATTTAATAGCATTAAAAAAAACTTAATAAGTAGCCTATGTGTTCTTCCTGACTACTTTCTACATGTGTGCCAATTCATCAAAATCCGTTCAACCGTTCCGGAGATACCTTAACAAATATCTATCCATCCATCTAAACATTAGCATTTATAATAAAACTAAGATTATTCCTGCCTGGACATAATGGCCAAGAAATGCTTGATTAATTTGAAGGGATGATGAAAGCCTTTTAAAATCTTGACAATTTTGCTGTAGTGGTAAATGTAGAGCGCGCATTTCCTTCATCACGAGTTTATTTAGCCGTTGGTTTACGTTCGACTTTATAGCTCGATCAACAGACAGAGCACTTAAATTGTTTAAAAATAAAGTCATAATTACTTTAAATGGCCGTAATCGTTATTTAGTATGTGTTAATTGTAAGAGATGTTATTTCATATGATTGTACGAAGCCAGTGACTTAAGTGCAATGTAAATTACATTTATTTAATATAAGCTGGCGTCGGCAATAGCGTCCGCGGAATTAAAAAATAACTCATAAGTAGCCTGTCTTCTTCCAGACATGTTCTACATCGATGCCAAAATCATCGTGATCCGTTAAGCCGTTCCGGAGATAACTTCAAACAGACATCCATCCATCCATCTAAACATTCGCATTTATAATATTAATAAGATAGTGTTTTTACAAAATTAATGGCCGTAGTGTGAATAGTGTAGTAAAATAAGCAAATGACTTTTATTTAAACCTGTATGTGATAATGACATGAAATATTTCTAAATCGTTAGTATTCACTCTACATGATTGTTAGATCATATAAATACGTTAACTATTGATGCATTACATATGAGCAGACACATTTTGAAGTTGATACATTAAGCAGGTTTGCCTTGACCGCACGCAGACCATGCTACGTATCCATTCATGCCGCCACTTGAATGCCTCCAACTTCGAAAACATTCAAAATTGAAAACATTGAAGGATTTTAAAATTTATTTGCTTAGAAAAAAATTAATCGTAAATTATATTACAAGCTAGTCATGCAACCGGTCACAATTTTCTTTGTCAACTTAATATAATATAGTTAAATATAGTAGAGAAAGTAGTAAATAATATAATTGCACAATACTTTAATTCCCTGCTACCTAGTATTCTTATTAAATAATCGGGAAATAGTGAACAAATAATATGTTAGAACTTACGGTATTTCCAATTTTCTATTTTCACAGAAATACGTCTTTTATTGTGCACTACAAAACTAATTTTGAAACAATTTAGTCGTCAGAATTTTACTATGAATATCAAAAATATGTTGCGTTTACTTTTCTTATAATATTCAAATGGGCTAAAGAAGGCAAAATTCACGATTCAACCAATGAAGAAATTTTCTATCAAAACTTGGAAATATGCCAACTGGTAAATAAACTTGAGACAATTCTAGAGAAGTTTTACATTCTGAATAAATTAAAATGTTGAATATCAATTTTGAAATACGAGAAGGACACATAGAAATAATATAACATGTAATATATAATATGAACTTAAAAAAAATTGGTAGGGTCGCTATAAAGTTAATTAACTCTATTCCTAACAGTACTAGGAAACTTGCTTGAAATGAAATTATCATTTTCGAAGAAAATGTTTAAATTATGAAATCGATAGAACTTTTTTTGAATACTTTTTTAAAATTCCCTAACTAGTATGTCACTAAACGTATATATAATTATATTTTAGTATTAAATATATGCGGTAAGAAAAGCAAAAAGCTAGTCTACATTTTGGTGACTAGCTGACAAGAAAATCGGCATCGGCAGTATACAAGCGTCAACGGAGGACGAGAGACGTGCACAAAACGCACGGAGCCGCGCGCGAAACTTTGCACAATGGCGGGAAAATGATCACTTTCTAACCAAACCTATTCTATCATCAGTTAATAAAAATAGACAAGTTACTAGTAATGTGCATATTAAATTGAAGTTATGTTGTGTTGAATGTTGATAAAAAAATTGAAAATGGTGAAAATATTCACATGGGCAATGGTGAGTTGTGAATAACAATTGTGTTATTTTAAAATTGTTGTTTCGCTTTATCACCGTAATAAATTAGGATATTACTTGTATTCTGTACAAGACAAACAGCAAATATATCGATAAATATTTTACAAATCTTATTTTGCTCTTCGAAATCTAAATAAAAAGTCGTTTAAAAGAAATTTACTTCAACACAAAAAAGTGTATTTATTTTGTTCAGCTCTATCTCTCTCTGAGTAGTGTAACGACATAATTCCATTGATTACGTGTTATTACGGTAATGCCATGATAGTGGGTCAGGGCTGAACAACAACAAAATATTAACATTTTTAAACAAAATATAAAGGAACAGAACGTTACCAAACTATCCTCAAAACTTAACCCAAATTTTACTAAAAGAACTTATGCTCAAACTTAAAGCGTCCAAATAGTTACTTCTACGATAATCCAAGAAGCGAGGGCCACGTACAATGAAAGTTTTTTTTGATAGAGTGCACAGATTTTTTCTTAAGAAGTGTATTTTTACGGCGTAGGTTTAAATTTTATATTTAGTACATCATAATCGTTAATAAATTGTATTTGAATGTTTAAAAAATTCACATCCGTTATAATTTAGGAAGAGCTCTTGCCAAATTAATATATTTTTAATAAATATATTGATTTATCTATGCGAAATGAATCAAATCAAAGTGTTCTAGTATTAAATGATAAAGCGAATAAAATATTTGATAACCTTTATAAATATTTTAACAATAACCCTAAACTGATTAGACAATTGAAATGTTAATAAGATGTCGCTTCTAGACATTATCTATGTTGACACATTGATTCGTTCACATACAATAAATGTATTTAATTAGAAATAAGTATAATTAAATGGGTACTTAAACTAAATTAGCTCATAAATAATTTTCATAAAATCATTGATATCTTTAAAACCTTTTGATCGTCATAAATATTTGTAATTATAGAAAATCCGCGGATTCTTCTAAGAAGACTGTACTGACTGTACTGAAAAATAGCTAAAAGACCCTGAATCCTGTTAGATTCCCTCCTCGCAAACAAAACGTAGGATGGATCTACGTGCTTTTTATTAGGGAATTCAATCAGGATGTGCTATGTAAGTGCGCCAATGGTTTTTCAAACTAATTTTTCTTCCAGCTGACAAAAATTACGGCGCTAATTAGACTGGACCAACTATTGCAGGCGTTTTATGACTTTAAGGCCTTGTAGAGAGTTTTAGGAATCTCGGCTTCTCTCTGCAAACCTCGATTTGTTCGTTAACTTACATCTTATTTTTACAATATTACAATCTTATAAGTTCTTTCTTTTAACAGTTTCAGTCCTTCGCTTAGCCGTAAATAATAATTAAAAAGACTAATTAATCCCTTCTGATTAATAAAAAGGCTAGAAAGAAAGGAAGTCGATCTCGTAAATCGTTTTAATGTTTCTGTAGGAAATAGTTTTAAAGAAGTATGATTTATCACGCAATCCGCTGCCTTGGAAACGGCCGCAGTAAGAGTTTTTAATAAATGCATCATTTACTAATTAAAATGCAAGAAAACTCTTTGCAGTGTTTACGTTTAAATTAATTAATGTTAACCCTTTAGGTACGGTATTTTCATAAATTTTAATTATTGAATAAAAAAAAACTCCAATTATGGTTGTTAATAATTAGTTACTGACAAGCCGTAATTGAAATTTGTCAAAATAATCGTAATATGACATTTACACGGTGAAAAAATAAAATAAATATGTTTTCGATCTTTTAAGTACCTGGTGCATAGTTGTTTGTACCAACTGTTGAATTTTTTGCCATCTACTATATAATCGTAAATGATGCTAGCTTCCGCCATTTATGTGATCTTGGTACTTTCCTGGTAGAGACATATATAAGAAACAGGTGTTTACGACTAATAAGTAACCATAAAATAATTTTCCCGTTTTTAATGTATTCATTGTGATTACGGAAGCTAATTAATTAAAACGAAGGATATAAATGTAATGAATACCAAAGCAGATAAAAATCTCTGTTTCTATTAGGAGTCGTGAGGAGTACCCATGTGTCCCGGCAACCCAACACTCTCCTATCTCCTTATGTAGTATTCAAAAGTTTATAACAATATTCTAAAAAATATAAGTTATATTTGTACAAGTTTTTAATGCCGCTTTATATTTATTTTTTGCTGACCTTGAAGAATTAAAATAAGTCCTTACTTTTTAAGTTCTTAAATTAACGTTTGCATAAAATAGAATCGTAAGGCAAGCCAGACAGTTAATGCTGGTATCTTGATAACAAATTACCAGTTCTTTGAATTGCATACTAGCTGTCGCACGCGACTACGTCCGCGCCGAAATAAAAAACTACTCAGTAGTATATGTGTTCTTCTAGACCAGTGGTTTTCAAATTTCAGTGAGATTCAAGCAACCATTCTGGACATACCTTCTAACAAACATTCATCTAAACCTTCTCATTTATAGTAAGATAGTACAACCGGGAGAAATATACCATAAGAGTTATAAATAAAAGGTAGATATAAACATTCTATGGAACTTTTTGACATTGTAGTTACAATAGTATAATTTCCTATTAAAATGGTGTTTTATTGTTATCACGGGCAAAGGTTGGTACTTGACCATCGCTCGTGCCCTCGATTGAATCTCACGATTTATTGAAGGTAACAGATATTATATGATTGCATATGTTACTAATATCTTCTTTGATTAACGAAGTTATTGTATGTCAAAAAATATTGCCATACAGATCTAGTCAACCATTGTACTTCTTACTAATATTATAAAGGCGAATCTTTGAATGGATTGATATATGTTTGTGAGAAGGTACCTCCAGAGCGGTTGCATGACTCTCGCTGAAATTTCGCATGGTATAAAACATAGTCAGAAAGAACACATAGGCTTCTAAGTAATGTTTTTTTTTTACTTAAGCCCGGACGGAGTCGCGGACGACAGCTAGTTTATATTTTTTACTTTGAGTATTTGAGCATAATCATAAAAACCAACTAGTTTTCAAATCGTGACATAGATTGTACGGCCGATGTCTGTGATGAAATTATACAGCTATGTCCACTACGACTATCCTGCATGATAATTAACCTTACAATTAGATTAAAATAGCAAACAGATATGTTACTGTAAAAGTATAAACTCCGGTAAATTGTTGTCGTTACCAACTAGTAATGGTAAAAGTCGAAAGATTTATGTCATCTTTGTTTATTTCGAACATACACTTGGTCAATCTTAAGACTTAATGCAAATACTCGGTAAATAATATTTTTATTAAAGGTCGTCTTATGTTATTTTTTTATAAATTGTAAAAAAATAATAATTTTTTTTTTTTAAATCTTAGGATTTACGAAGTGCATAGTTGTAAATCCTCGAAATAAATAAGTCTCAAATATTTTTTCTGATTATGACCTTTACTAGTCGGTATATTTTAGGATTTGCCGAAGTTCATGCTTTAACAGTAACAGATCACTACAGACCGGCATTGGTCTGAGCGGTTTTGCTTTCTCACGAATTATATCACTGAATCACTGTCAAATAGCAATGTCTATAAACCGACATTAGTATGTAATGAGGCTTCGTGGCGGGAAGGTTGCGCGGGCGCCTGCGGATCACTCATCGTCGCTTAATGATGCGGGTTCAAGCCTTCCGTAATATACGGGCGGGTTACCGTCTGAATACTAATTTACAAAAAAAGTTTTCACAACGATGTTGCCATGTGCTGCTTTAAAATTTATTCTTTCTTTTTTTAGTAAAGTAATACTTTGTTTAGAATTAAATTAATCATTAGATCTTTTGATTTTAACACGCAAGTTAAAAAACTAAAATATGATTTAAAACCTTTCTTTACCTAAGTAACTTAAAATGAACCTTTCAATTGACTAAGGTTTTTCCCTTAAATTAACGCAAAACATGTAATTGTTCGTGTCATTGCGGTTACAAAAACTAAATTTTTTTTGATGATTTAATAAGTAAAAAAACGTGATCAAGTAGTTCAAGAAACGTTTTTTATACAACAGCAAGGGTATACATTGAAAGTTAAGTACTTTACAAGAAGTTAATAACGGACTAACAATCTGAATCTTCAAGAGATTCTTTACAAAGCGTATACTATCAATTTTTTACTTAATTAGCCTACTCTGTGGAAAAAACAGAGATTCATATCTCCACACCAATTATGTTAAACGGACTAGATAACACAAGCTATCTCAACCTAATCGTAGTCAACATTTACCTTAAGATGATAAAAAGGATGAAGGGCAAAGGGAATGTAGTACAATTGTATGTTTATTAGAGGCGTTAAGAATTCCAAAGCGGGTGTCAGCGCGGCGAGGTAGTGACGTAGAGACGCGACAAGTGTGTCAATGTCGCTCTATGCCGTTGCACTATCTGTCGCACAAATTGTTATCGACCACTTCGATTAGTATTACATCAGAAGCTAACTACGGTACGATAAATTAGCATAAGTAGATAACATAACACTTAAAAAAAGTTTTTATTACCCATAAACAAGAAAAAAAACACAAGGGAATTTTAAATGCTAAGGATGGGTAATGTAAGTAACTCATCCGATGTATTAACTCCATATTTAGTATCCAGTCTAGTATTATCACTGACGTCTTATGTCTTTTAAAACTAATGATTGTTATCTATTTCACTATTACAAATTCGAATGTCTGGATGGATGGATGTTTGTTTGAAGGTATCTCCTGAACGGCTTCATGGATCTCGATGAAATTGGGCACACATATAGAACATAGTCTGAAAGAACACAAAGGCAACTAATTATACTATCCCTTTTTGCAATTCCACGCGGTCGGAGCGCGGGCTAGTGGTCATATAAAGCTTCAAGAGCTTGAAGACATACAACCTTTTAAGTTAATAAAATTGCATGCAAGTTCGTAAAATTCTACTACAAAATAGAACCTATGGTTACAAAGTTCAATGATCATAAATTCATTCATAAACGTAAGCCTGTGGAGCACAAAACATTTTTGCATTTGCGCTTTGCGGTGTCAAATTGCGTTATCAAGTGCTCGCATAAAAACCGTTCCGTTAGAGATACGGCGCACACATCCTGGTTATTCGCGTGTAAAGAGAAAATATTCCTTAGTTCAACCAATGTGATATCGAATTACATAAACGTCTGATTTCCATACGCCAGGTAAGAATCTCGTATTATATGCCAAGATCCTTTACGGACAAAGAGAAATAAACCTTTATTTACTTTTCCTAGAAAAAACTTTTTTCCAACAAATTTTACGTCTGTGAATCCGAAATACTACAAATAAAAAAAAATCATACATAATGCGATAGTTTATGTTACTTTCTAGCACTATAATGAAAAAGAGAATATAAAATTAATATTCAATTATGCTATATACTATAAAAATATATATTTATGCAAAAAATAGAACAGAGTCATCTTGAAACATATTTTAACAAAATATTTGAAATATTCATAACATTTGAACCCAGCTATATTTAAATACAGCTTTAAGTTGTTTATATTGAGAGTTCACGCCCTAGATATTATGTTTAAACTGCAATTTATTTAGAGACATCTATACAACTTCTCCGTTTCTTTTGATGTTTTTATATACATTGACATTTCATTTCATAAAAAAAAAGTGAATTAGCTACATACTTTAATAGAACACTATATCACAAGACGCTACAATTGCATCTTTAGTTAAAACTATTTTAGCCCAAAGACATTCATTTAGTAATTATAAAATCTGAAATGAAAAATAGTTGTAGTTATAAATCAATCAACAAGCAGTTGTTAAAGTCAAACGTTATACTAAACGAATGTTTTAACTGCTATTGGTAATTAAAAGCTGCCTAGAGCACACCGGTAATAACTTTTCTTATAATTATTAGCTATTGGTTTCTCCATTAGTTACATATAGTTATATTATTTTGATCCTAAAACTGTGCTTTCATCCTAAAAGGATATCGAAACGGACTATTAATTAGTTAAGTCGCGGTGAACGCAGACTGTTCAGGAAAGCATTCCTCCAATATCTTTCTTTAGGATTCTAATACTAAGCACAACGCTGTTCCATTGTTTAAAGCTACTCATGTTGCGCACTTGGCTTTTGTCCACCTCACAACGAAATAAACCTTTTTAGAGAAAACAATAATAAAAAAATCAGTACAAAATATTTACTTCTTTTTTGTAGCACAGGTCACTAAACAGTTATTTGTCTTAATAATTACTATGTTATTAATATAAGTTGACAAATATTTAATATTATTATAATTTCTTTATGTTTGTGTGGCACACTTTTCTCACGGGATAGTAAAACAACGTAAGAGCAGCGTTAAGTAAAAGATATTTCAAGGAAAACTTTGCGAGTGTTAAATGTCACGGCAAAGAAAAAGGATTCCAAGTACTTTTTTAATGTGCAAAGTTTCATTTTAAGTAATAACCTTTGTTTTAATTAAATAACTTCAACTTATAAAAGATAACTTTTAAATAGTTTTGAAATTTAGGAAAGAGATTTTTGTTACAATTAGCACTCAGTTTAAAAGTTCCGATGGCTATTTCTTATTTTTTATAGTATCGTAGTGTTTTTTCACATCAACCATATCGATTCGGTGGATATCACTCATCGTTCGCTGAATTTTTTTTATTTGACAAATTACATGCAAACACGAGAGCCTAATTACAGGAGTTGTTTTAACCCGGTCATAGTCATATAAATATATCTCGGGAGCTATTTTTAACATTATTGTGAACAAAGCTCACTCCCATCTAGTGACGGCTCACGACACAAGCATTTCATTTAATTCTAACATTATAATAAATACGAAGATTATATCTGTCTCTATCTATCCAAAGATAATGAAGTGCAGACGATAAAGAGTTACACATTAGTATAATCCAAAAAAAAATAGCAATCTGATTAAACTAGAATGTTTACTAGTCTAAACTAACTCACAGTCATTTAAGGGATTAGTAAGAGTCTCGGTTGGTAACCATCAAACCACTCATAGTGACGTCAGTCAATTCTAATTAAAATTTACAACTATAGACGTAGAGATAATATAAGTTATTTTTTAATATCGAGTGTGTGTGCGTTGATGTACGAGTGTGGAAGAGAAGAGACGTGGGCCAGGACTGAGCTAAATGGATATCCCTAATCTTTTCCTAGCACTCTGGGTTACAAGTCTGAGTTGTGATGTTTTTGTTGTAATATGGTAAATATAATGATCTAAATTGGGCTATTGTCAAGATTTAGTGGTAGAGCCCGCTTTAACATCTTCGCACGAATTGGCCTGGCTCGCCCGGTGAAATACCACGACCACACAGAAGACAGGCGTAAAGTGGAAACAATTTCACGTTTCGTCTGATGAGTGTGCGTCCCGATAGTCTAATTTAGTCCTCATTGATTGAAAGATGGAAAGTGAAAGTGGACTTTCCGGATGAGATGCATGGAAAAGAAAGATGTTTTCTTTCTGTGTTCCTCTCCTCCGTCGATTAAAGGTAGGCAACGCATATGCAATTTCAGGTGGCCGCTCGCTCGTTTGCCACCTTATGATGTAAAAAAAAAATGATTACATAACATTAAATTTTAAGAAACGAGTTTAACCTTTTAATTTAAATACAGTTTAATAGTTTTTGTTGTTCTCGCTGTGGTTTTCAACTGCAATGACACTTGGTTTAATTCATATAGATCTCTATTCGGTATGTGTCTCTGAAGTGGAGTTCTAGGGTTAAAGTTTACAAAACAATGTCGATATGCGATGCTTATGTTACACAATACACAACAATTTATTGTGTCGGCCTCACGCGTACACTTGTGAACCTGTCGCTCTAAAACGAGTTTCGGCTCTCTCCATACCAACGGCTTAAAGGCCAATACTTGATACAAATTATCGGGCAGTATGTTCGTTACATAATCACATACATACATATCTAATATGGTTTAGATAAAATAAAATTGTAAAGAGAGTTGGAATAAATAAATGAAGTAAAATAAAAACATGCAAATCGAATGATATCCCAATCATTAATATCGGTTCAGTCGCTTCTAAGCAACCACAACGGTACTCATAAACATACAAACCCGCATACATAAAAACATACTAACCTAAACTATAAAATACCTTTATGAGTCAGTCGCTTAAGTAAAAGCATTATTTAAATATTAGTTCTTATGTTAGTAATATATAAAAAATCTGAACAATTCCGAATGTAAATTGTTTCACAATACAAAAGTAAGGCATCGCTCCTACTGATATGGCATTCATCACGACCATACATACCTTGACAAGGCTGTCTATAATATTTTAAAAGGATTTCGTCATTTTGAGATGAGTAAGAAAATTTTTACTTTTTGGCTTCTAAAGAGTCTTTAGGATATGGGCCAATAAAAAAAATTCTGACACACCGGCCAGTAATTGATCAAAAATACAAAAATGCATAAAGAAATAAAATGAAAATATAAATAACAGATTCATCGTATCACATTATATTTCGATGTAAGTTTCCTGTATGTTGTTGATATACGACAGATAATGTCCAAGAAAATGAAAAAGCTTTTACAACTCTAACAGCCGATAGATTTGTGTGTGTAATCTCAGCTGCTAACTTTACCTATAAAATAAAAGTATATAATATGATATTCTGATGTTTATTATACGTTGGCAGTATTGCTTTTGCTTAAGAGCTTTGATACATAAATCAAAACTAAGTGTCACAGCAGGAAGTTAAAGTAAATAAAAAAATATTGTAACTTATAACATTTGCTTGTTCGTAATTCGCACACTTAACTTTGCTTTACGAGGAGCCAATATCGGAAAAATGTTGGTCACACATGTTCGCTTCGATCTGTGGGGTAAAACACTAACTGGATAATAACTTTTAACGGCAGCGACAAAAGATTGTAAATTATAAAATTAATCTGAACGAATTATTAATTTTAAAAAGTTAAATTAATTCATTGTAATTAACAAATAAATAAATGTAGTGAGTATAATCTTCATTTGACTATCGTCGCGTCATCAAAAAAATTGACATTCCGAATATTAAATTATTCAAACATTCGTGAGACTACTAAACTGATATACAAACGGCTAAACACTCACGTATATTCGTCCGGTGGCGGCACCGACTAGTTTCGAGGCCATCAGGGGCCCTTCATCAGGATGATTCCGAATTTTATAGAAAAATTTTGTGTTGTTTCAGTGGCACTGGTGTTGGTATATATTAATAACATCGTTCGATAATTCCCGAGGAGAGATATTCACATTGGGATATCTGACCGGCTCTCAGAGACGTCCAGGCGACTTTACTTATGAAAGACCAGGACGAGTCATATCAGGTAAAAGATAATTTCATCGTTTTAGCCGACTTCAAAAAGAAGGAGGTTATTAATTCGTCTGTATTTTACTAATACATTACAAAGCGTTACTTTATGTTTTGCCTACCTTCATTACGATCCAAAAATTTCTACATTATTTAAGTCCTAACAAAAGCAATTTGCAAAATTACTAAACAAATAATTGCACACTTTCATCTAATTAACTCAGTTTATTTTTTGTTAGGGGCAATTTCCATGGCTGTCGACGAAGTGAACGAGAAATTACTCGGACCGATGGGACATTCTTTGGAATTCATCGTCGCTGAGACTTACGGTCAAGAAGAAGTTTCTATAAAACAGGTGGGTATTTGATAATCTTTTGTTTTCATACACTTAATCATTGAAGTCAATTTCAAAACAGAAAAAACCAAAGACTGCAAATTGAACAAAGAGTTATAGTCTTTTTCTTCTTTTCACATCTTTGCAGTCTCCTTAATATTATACTATCAGTAAAATGGCTGATCTACGTTATGGATAAAGTAAATTTTTCTTCATTTTAAAAGGCTATTCAGATTCAACATGATAAATGCTTCTAAATATTATTTTATTGCATTTAAGTTTTTAACACTATTTTTTACATTTATAGTTCACTAATAGTTTAGTTTCTTCATTTACATGAACAATATGCTGCGTCCAAGGGTATTAATTGGTAGTTTCGTAACTAAGTGTATATTTTATGGCCAATAGATCAACATTTAGTGTACCAATAACTCTTCCAAATAGTTTGGACATTTGACGTCAACGCCAAATGAAGCCTATACACGTTTATTTCAATCTTTATCTCGTATAATAATTTGTATGAAATATAACTGAAGATCAATTGTTATTCGTTCAGCTATTTTATGTTTATTTTTTCAATGTTTTTGTGCTTCTCATTCTCTTTGTTATATACATAATAATATGCATAAAACTTTGAAGACGACAACGGAAACCGCGGAGTTCGTACATCTGGCGACTTCAGCACAAGTTTGGATTTTCGCTTAAATTTAAAACTTTTCCTCATTTATCTTTCAATATCGAATGCTGTCTCTGCCAGTGCAAAGTTATTAGAATTTTTATATTGAAATTTTAATTAAGAAATATCTAAATATATTAAAATTAAAAAACCCAATACCTAAAAATATTAATTGCTTAGTAGAAAACCTAAAATCCGTCTTTTATTTTCGTATTAAAAATATTCTAATCATTAAGCACGAGCTTAAAACATTCTTTCTTTCTTTTTCTTTCTTTATACTTTGTAAAGACACTGAATAATCGGATTATTCGTTGGAATCTAAATTACATAAAACTAGTAGGAACTATAATATAAAATCGGTGACATAAAATATTAAATTCGGCATAAAAACATGTTATGTAACGTTCCAAAACCAAAAAAGATTACTTAAATGAATACGTAATATAATACATAAATTAGAACAATAAAGATATAACATTAAGATTACATGACTCAATGAATGAATGAAATTAAATGACATTAACACATAAGAAAACTAACGATTAAGTCATAAATAACATAAATCAACATGCAATAACTTTAATTTCGTTGTATTTTTTTATTTATTAAGGTATAATTTCTCTTAATTACACTTATAATTATTGTTGCAGGGGATTTTAATTTAAGTAACTGGATCATTTTAAACGTTTCTTTATGTTATTATACAGTAAGTTCCCACTTTTGAAATGTTTGTAAAAAATATTACTATCTCAGTTTTCTTAAAGAGAAAGAGTGAAACGACAATATATTTTCGTATGAAAAATTTCTGCAGTTGAAACCAACGTTTACTTTGTCACTCGCACGATTTCCGTCTTGTCAATTAAAATGTTGTCACGATAAACACATTAATTTTGAATTTGTTAACTGGTGTCTTAACAAGATTTTATAAAAAAAA